CACTAAAAATAAATATATTAAAAAATAAAAATTAAATCGCCGCCATATAACACTTGGAATTAAGAACATCGTCAGTTCCGTCTCACTTCTGCCGCCGCCACCACTCACGGCGGCGCCGCCGCCATGGACTCGCCGTTAAAGTGCATTTCCTTCATCGGCGGACAAGGAGGGCCGCCGGTGCCGGGGATGTTGGTGCAGCCAGATGGGCCGGAAGGAGGCACAGGCCCCCTCCCAAGTGAATTGACAAGAATACCCTTCTCCTGCAAATTTGCTTCCACATGATCATGCAAGAATAGTCTCCTTCCACTTACTTCTAATGGCACAAACCCAAATAATAATAAAACTAATAATAATAAAATAAGGACAAAACTAATTTGCCTCATTGTCTGATCAAATAAATTTAAAAAATGAATTGGGATTTCTATAGTTGATTGGATATATCCCTTGTACATATATATACATACATATATATATATAGAGAGAGAGAGGGAGAGAGAGAGAGAGAGATTATAAATTAATGTGTATAGGGAATTTCTCATTAACTTCCTAATGCATATAGGTTTTGAATATTCTTATTATTCTATTTAATATTTTTTTAGAAAGAAATTAAAAATAAAAAATAAAAAATGTTATTAATAAGATGAAAAGGAGATAAGGGTTTTGAGTTGGAAGATTGAATTTGAAAATGAGTCCCATGTTTTGTGAATTTGGTATTCATGCAATAATAATAAAAGATTGCCTTTTTGGACTAGATTTTTATTTGTGGTTTAAGGTTGGAATTAGAGTTAGGTAAACTCTATTTTATTTTATTTTATTTATTTATTTATTTTGGGTTTTGTCTTTCTTTCTAGGGTTCTCTTTTAAATTCGGGTCAATTAAATAAACTATGCTTGACAGTTTGAAATTCATTCATTGCAAATTCAAATCTTGCTTTTTTGTGATACAATCAAATAACTTTTAATACTCCCTCCGTCCCTAACAAAGAATTCATTTTTCCATTTTAGTTCGTCGGATAACAAAGTATTCATTTCTTTTTTTTTTTTTTTTATAGTAATTGTACTATCTACCTAACATTACAAATACCCTTACAACTTACAATATACTCCATCCGTCCCATAACAAAGTATCCATTTTTCCATTTTAGTCCGTCCCATAACAAAATATCGATTTCCTTTTTTAGTAATTGTACTGTCTACCTAACATTATAAATACCCTTACAACTTACAATATATTACACAAATGTCATTAGCTTTATATCACACATACTAATAAAAAGGTTATTTTAGTCATTTCTACTTTATTTCTACTATATCCTAATATAATACTAATATTTCTAAAACTATGTGCAAAAAGCAAATGGATACTTAGTTTCGGGACGGAGGGAGTATTACACAAATATCATTACCTTTATATCACACATACTAATAAGATTATTTTAGTCATTTCTACTTTATTATCCTAATATAATACTAATATTTCTAAAAGTACGTGCAAAAAGTAAATGGGTATTTACTTATGGGACGGAGGGAATATATTATCTGGTTGTGTTTGTAAGAGTAATACAATATACACGTAATGTTAAATTTGGTGACAAATATTTATTAGCTAAAAAATTTTTTTAGCAAGTTTTAGATATATAGATTGTGTTTTCTTTTTTTTTTTATAATATTTTTTCAAATTTTAATGTTTGAAATATGTACTTTTCGAAAAATATATATTTTTTTATAAAATATGTCAAATATTATTTAAATACAAAATCTAAACTAAATCTTTCTAAACAAAACCAAAAGAAACAAAGATTTTGAAAATACTAAAAAATGATTAAATGATACAAAAAAATAAATAATTAATGTGATATTTTTAAATTTATATCTCAATCTAAAACGTGAAGACACTTGGCAAGTGAAAATTTGTTTTTTTTTTTTTTTTTTTTTAACTATAATTATTATTATTATTATTATTATTAATTCTAGTTTATTGTCAAGTTTCATAATATTATACTCTGACAAATTATCTATTTTTTTTATTTTGGTTCATTAATAACAAAACTTTTATTTTTTATTTTTTAATAATTGTAATATCTACTAGCATTACAAATATCCTTGCAACTTAAAATATATTACATAAATGTCATTATCTTTATATCATACAATACTAACAAAATTATTTTAGTCATTTTACCTTTATTTCTACTTACACTTTAATATAATATTAATATTTTTTAAAACTTCGTGTAAAAAACAAATTAATAAATAAATATTTGACGGAGGAAGTTGGACAAATCAAAATGAGTTAGTTCAATTATTACCAATTGCGCTCTATTTATATATTTTTAGAAGTACTAATATAATTCATAAAATATTAAATTAACTATTTAGTTTGTTTCACAAAATATCACATTAGAAAAACATTATGCATGATATTATCACAACGTGCATAATTTGAAAATAGAAAATAAACGTGATTTCACTGCAGTAATCATAAAAATTTAAGAATATCTCCATCAATTAACATGATATCTGTGTAATTATTAATATTTTTGTCTTGCTAAAATTTGATTATTTATTCAAAATTATTTTATTTATAATATTTATTAATTAATAAAAATACTAACTTTAATATATATGTAATTCTAAAATAAAATATAATTTCTATATTTTTTTGTGATAATATAAAAATAGAAAAATACAAATTGATTATAATTTATAAATATAAAAATAGAAAAATATATATATATATATAAAGTACTACTGCAATCTTGAAGTGAAGAGTTATTATCTTATTGCTATAAATATAAGTCTACATCTTTCTTTTAGGGGGTGTTCTTTTGGGATTTACCCGAATTTCTACTATTCATTAAATTTTTTTTTTTTCCAAAAACGTCAAATCAAATATTTATTTTTTATTTTTTATATTATACTAAAAAATTAATTTTACATTCAAAATATCACATCAACGTCTATTTATATCACATCATACAACTATTCTAATTCAAAAATTTTACTATTCAAATCTTAATTCAAAATCCAAACCCCCAAAACAAACACACCCTCTTCATTGTTTTTTAGACCAAATTTTACAAAATTGATGTGTCAAATTTTCCATATTTCCAAATTTCTTCAAATTTTCTCATTGTTTCATAAAATTCATTTAACAATGTTTGAATTATATATCCAAACTGCAAATAAGTTTCAGAATCTCTATTTGATTTTGTCCATAGATTAGATTATAAATTTGTTTTGTATAAGCAATACAAAACATTCACGACGAGGGGTGAATTCGTGGGCCATCTTCGCACTTTCAACGTCTATCGGTTATATTCTTCTATCATGACCGGCTAATAGCAACTTCGAAGAATCAGAAGTGAACACCATGCAATGGGAAAAAGGGTAGAGTTTACAAGAGAGCTTTTTCTTCGACTCACAGTCCACCTATCGTCCGATTTATTTCTCTTCAATTGCAATAAAATGGATTTTGTATGGTCAGAGTAACCAAAATATGCTCCAGACGAAGACTTTCCGAGAACATCTACATTTAATCCGTGCCGCTAAATCAGTGTTTGCATGCGCAACAGAGACGGGCCAGGAGATGCATCAGATACGATGGATATTTCTAAACAGTTTGTCGACTGGTGTCGAGAAAACTCGGAGAACTCTTTCACAGAATATCCATAAAGTTTAGTGTCGTCAACATGGCTTTGCCCGGCGACGTAATTTCTTTCACCTTTTCAACTGGAGTTAGATCTTCGTCGCACATAGGAACAGCTAAGGTTAATGCCCTCACATCATGTGAATGGACTCTCGCGTGCCCAACATAATAAATTCATTTCTTAATAGATACGGGAACAGGTGTAGCGTCGCTAGAGCCCCAATTGCCTCACTAGAAAACGCTAGGGGCTGCTGCTAAGGCATTTACATCTCCCTTATGATAAGAATTTGCCTTATATAACCAAATTACAAATAAGTTTCACAGTCTCTATTTTTATATTTAGCCTTGATAAACAGTAAAAAAAACTTCTTAGAACAAGAGGAAAGCAAATATTTCTAAATATATCTACTGTTCTTTGAGGCTAAATATAAAAATAACGAGTATATACGTATAATTTTAAAGGAATTTAGAAATAGAAATTTTAAAATTAGAGGTAGAGTATAATTTCAGGAAATTATATTCATTTAATTCTTTGAGAATATATTATATTCCACATTCATAATCTTTTTTTATCTACATCTATATTCTTAGAATTTTATTTTTTTTTTAACTGAATAATAACTGAGGACTCTCTGCACTTGTCTTCGAACTTTCTCCTAGGCCATAGCCAATTGTTAATGACTGTTCGGAGAGTTCAAGAATGCATCACTATTTACCTTAGACATTCTTCAACTCTTCAAATGGTCATGAACAAAAACAGCTACCCAAAAAGTTCTAAGACATAACGCGGAGAATTCCCATTAATTATTCACATTTAAAAAAAAATAATAATTAAAAAAATCAAGAATTAAGATGCAAATCAAGAATACGATTGATTGTAGATTAAAACATGTTCTCCAAGAATTGATTGAATATCAAGGGTGTATTTATTCTGTAAGATTGTTGGAAAATAATATATATATTTTTTTTTTATGTGAAATTTAAAAATTGCGTAGAGAACATAAAAATAATAAAAATGTGTAATATATTAATTTTTTAAAAAGAAAAACCCAAGAAAAAAAAAAACTGATGGAGATCTAGAACAAGAATGTAATTAAGATGTTAATTAAGATCGATAAACACGTTATATTTGATTTCAACACAATTATAATCCAACACCCGAAGTGTTCTAATTGCAGTAATGTGTTGTATATAATATTAACATGTGCTAACCAGGGTTAATCAGTGCCGCCGCGCTGATTAACTCTGATCAACACTCTAACCATTCCGCTATATATTGTACTAACTATGGTTAATCATCATCCATCATATCTATATATATATGAGCACACAAATTATGACCAGAAAATGACTAAACAAAGAAGAAAAAAAAGAAACCACTAAGCAGAATAAGTGTAATCACAACACAAGTTAGACAGTGAATGTTAAAAAAAAAAAAAAAAAAAAAGGGCCAACAAATCTCAAACTAGAAGGCCATCAGCAACACTAACAATAAGAACTCCAAACTGAAAGCAGTGATAGAAACAGAGATTCGTGCTTTACAAAACACTATTTTTCTTACCTGGGGTGGGGTGGAGGCCTGCTGGTCCTTATTGTCCTGCTGCTCCAAGCCCACGTCGTCGGCCGGGCGGGATGACGGCTGTATAACAGGTATCGACATCAAGCGTATAAGTAAAACAGACTTACTTTACTTCTAGTGTCCATTGGAGGGTCGGAATCCTGGATAGCTGTTGCCGGAGTTGATATTCGGAGTATACTCGGGAATATGGTAAGAATAGCCGTTGTTGTCAGCGTTCCGGACATTCGGAAACGTCAGATCGCCGACCGGAATCTGCCAATGGTTAGGAATCAAACTATTATCGGCCAGGGGGCCATTCACGTACGATCGGGGGCTCGCCTGGGGAATCATGTCGTAAGAGGCAGCATACCCGTGATCGAAGCTACGCGAGCTTCTCGACAGGCCCGCCGGACCATTCGAGATGCTGTGATCGCCGAGGAAGCCAAACTGCTGATTCAGGTAGCGATGCCCGCCATTCCCGAAACCGTGACGTCGTTGGCTCAGTTCGGTCGAGCTCCCGACACCCTGCTCGTCGTCGAGCAAGTCGTTTATAATGTCCAGGTGCGGAAATTCGTCGGGAACAACCTGGTTTTGACGGGTGGACGTACTCGCCGGGAATCCGAAGGGGTCCCGAGATCGGTGCACCGAACCGTATCCGTCGAAACGCTGCTGCAGATCGTTCAACCTCAAAGCCCCCGACATGTTCCTGTTACCATCTCTTTCGGGGAATTCGGTCCAAGTTCTGCTCGGGATAATATCCGGTCGATTCATCATTCCGAACGAAAAGCTCTGTCGGATTGGATTCGGGTCGACTCGATCCGGCCTGAGCGGCGCAGAAACAAATCCGGGGGCCTGGGAGTACGGCACGGACATATTTACGGTCGAGCTTACAGGGTGATCTTGAGCAGAAGGCAAGTTTCCGGCGGCAGAAGTTCCCAAAATAGCGTTTCGATACGACTGAGGAATATAAGCGGCTGATGCGGCAGAATCAGGCCCAAGCCGACCGATTGCGCTCACTGACCGCGACAGCATTGGCCCCGTCGGGACTGCTGGAACCGCGACGGAAACCGGCTGCTTAGGGCCCGGAATAAGAGGAGCGCTCAACGGCCTCGACACAACCAGCGAAGGTGGCAACGAGGGCTTATCAGTCGTGGCTGGAGGCTTCTCGTTTCCGACATGGCCAGACGGCTTTGCGGTGGGCTTTGGAGTCGCAACCTTGGGCATATCTGGTTTCATCGCAGTCGCCTTTTCGGACGTATGTGTAGACACTGATCTATCTGCTTGTTTGGGAGATGATTTCCGAATCACAGGGGGATCATTTGTAGGTTTCGGCTCTGGTTTTGCAGGTGCAACCGAGACTGGAGGCGGAGAGATAACGCGAGCAATCCTATGAGAGGAACCATTTTCTTGCACCTGTGACTGCGAAACACAAACCGGCTAATTTAGTCGAGGGATTAGGAAATTCCTGTATAATCTTGAGTATGAAAATGTCGTTACATAAGCAATGTAACAGCAAAATCCAGAAATTTGATATCGAAAGCCATGTATTGAGATAAGAATAATTATTTCAAAACGGGTTGTCGATTTTTCAACGAGAATTACCTTATCGTGCGCATTCCATTGGGCTCCATTCAGCGCCTTCTGCGGCGATGAACAATTCGCGGCTTTGGAATTTTGAGGAGCTTCAATTGAGGACCCTGAATCCGGCGCGGCTTCAGATGGACAACTCGGTTCTTCACTTGCCCAATGAGGAGAGTGAGAAGCTGCCTTGCTCTGATAATTCCGACTTCTAGAAAGTCCAAGAGATTAATTTAATTAATGGTCGCATTCATTATAAAAGTTCACTAGTATAAGAACTGCGGAAAAAAGACTTACCTCCTGGAAGATTTTTTATTTTGGGGATTCTGAGAATTTCCTTTGTGGGAAGCATTTACTGTAACAAAAGGAACCGAGTCCGAAGAACAGGTGGATGAGCTATCATCCACAGCCGAGGAACTTCTTCCATTTTGTACACTTGAAAGTCCACTAATCTCACTACTACAGGTTTCCGATTGAGGATGAACTTCTGAAGTATCGATATCCTCCATAACAGAGGAACTTCCATTTTGTACATTTGAAAGTCCACTAATTCGGCTACTACAGGCTTCCATCGAAGGATGAACTTCTGAAGTATCGGTATCATCCACAGCAGAGGAACTTCCATTTTGTACAATTGAAAGCCCACGAATCCCACTGCTACAAGCTTCCATCTGAGGATGAATCTCGTAAGTATCAGTATCCCAATTGCTAGGATTTGGATCTCTGTCATCAGAATCTGGTGGAAGAATTTCAGGAACATGATCCACAGAATCAGACACGTCTGAAACATCTACAGTATCAAATTTTTCCAGTGCTGTTCCTGAATCATTAGTTTCGGAATCTTTGCCATTAATCGCCTGATCCAGCTCATTTTGGCCTTTTACAGGACTACTAGTCTTCTCATCCTTTCCCTTGTCTTTTCCTTTGCGATTATTTCGTTTCTGCTTGGCCTAAAATATACAAAATATCAGCCTAAAGTTCATTAACCAACAATAACACTGAAATTGAAACAAAGATGTAGAAGTGAGTCAAGATGTCTAAATCATTGTGAAACTGTCTTGCCGATCATCCAGAGGAACCTCCAAAAGATTTCACTAGGACCAAACAAAATAGATTATTTCAAACCTGCTTCTTTTTAGACTTCTTTTCCTTGTCCAATGCAGCGCGTCTTGCTTTCTGCTCAATCTCAGCAAGCCAAGCTTCCTCCTCTTCGCGTATGAGCTCCTCCTGTCTCTTTAAAGCCACAGCCTCCTGGTATGCTACCTCAATCTTACTGCTGTTGAGGCAAGAAAGGAAAAGAAATAAATCTTGGGATATCAAGATTCAAGAGTATTCGAACTGATGCATAAATGTAGTAAAGACAGTCTATGTTTGGAACAGATGGGAAATGAAGTCGGAAAATATATGTCAAGCATACAACTAGTGTCATTTCTCCTATTCACTTCTTTTATTCTTCTAGAGGACAAATATAGGCGAAACCCGAATAAACCATACGGATGGTAAAAGACTAATTATTGCCAGAACAACAGTGATAAAACTATTTCTACTCTTCATTTCATATTGAACTTCTCATGTTCACGGCACAAACTATGTTTCATGGAATTTCGAGTATAGTAAAGACAGAAAAACAGGAGTGAGATGCCATATCTGAGTTCTGATGCTAACAATAGGCGACGATGGTCTTATATAAATAGGGCTTCCAGAATAATCTTACCTAAAAACATGGCTTAAGATGAATACTTCGAGAGTTCGACGGCCTAATTCAGTAAGCCGCCTCTCCTCCTGTTCAATAGGATCTTTAGTTAGCTCCTCTCCAGCCCCAGCATCCTTCAATAAAAAGGGAACAGTGGAATCAGCCAAGATGCTCGACTAGAAAATATAAAATAATAAAAAAAAAAAACTGCAAACAAATTCCGATCTCATTCTCTTCCAATATAACACATTTGAACACCCCCAATGATGGGATGAATCTCAATAACCTACCCAGAGTGGCCAGCTACAATAGGTATTGCTAGACATAATAGTCGAGTAAGAACTGATCCACCCGGTGGGTGTAAGCAAGAATGTATCAACAAATTTCAAGAATGAATAGGATCTTTAAGCAGTAGCATCAAAGATAGATAATGACTGAACTCTTTGAAAAGTAATAGTGCATTAGCATGATCCTTCTCACTTTTGTACGGTCTTGAGGACCCTTATCATCCTTTGGGGGTAAAGGTTCCATGGAAACCTTCTCAAGTAGTAGCAGCACATCATCAACCAATACAAACATATCTTTCTCAATGCGAATTATAGGAACTCCCGGTTCTTCAGTCTCCGAACCCTTGCTCTTTTTTCCCTTTTCACAACCTTCAAGAGCCCGAAGACCGCTGTACAAGGAATCCATGACAAGGGTTGATGTGACTTCTTTTTCTATGAAAAAATGTTTCACAACAATTTTCAATATTGACTCAGTTTTCTCTTGAGACATACGCCGCTTGTAGCTTTGGTCCATACCCATCCAGAATGAACAGAAGCTGAAATTTTGGTCCAAATCAGAAATATGAGATACAAGAACATTCCAAAAATTAAGAAAACCAGACAAGATGATCAGAACCTTGGATACGATGTTAGAACTACTAGTAAAGGCTAAAATTGTTTTTAACTTAACCTTCTATTTATGTTTCTATGAAATGGTGTGATCCAGATATATAGGGTCAAATCCACTGTAAATGCAGGAGATATTATAAATAATGCAGCCTAGTCCTGATCCATGGGGTCGGAAAACATAAATCTATTTACAAGTTTACATTTTATAAGATACAGTCCTTCATTCACTGGCACCAAATAATAATGTGATACAGATACTACAAGAAAAAGAAGAAGACAAGATGATCAAAACTAAATATGTGACAAAATGCTCGATAAAAGTATACGCAAGAAAAAGACAATAAATGAGTAGCCTGATGCAGAAGGAAGCTATCGTAGATCTTTGGAAGTGTTTCTCTTATTCTATATTCAGAAAAAAGAACACAGAATTCAACAAAATAACATACCTGGACCATTTATCTTTATCGTCTATCAGCTTCCCAAGTTTGACTCTTCTCTCCTCCACAAAACGGCGACAAATTTGTTCTACATTTGTCAAATAGACTCGCACAAGCTCTCTCCTATATGGGCAGTCAAGACAGCGGAATGGCCTATCCGCTCTCTCCCTGAAAATCCCATTCGATAATCAAAATTTGAAAACAGTCAATAGGAAATGTAGAAGACACCACCAAGCCCCAAAATATTGTTTCCCAGTATTCATATTTTCCTTTTCAAAACTTTCAACAAAATATTGCCATTATGCTTCGAACAAATGCATGGTGCATATTTCTCAGTCATGAACCAGTACCGTAGGACTTGCACTTGAGCCTTGATAGTCAAACTATCGGCGTCAATAAATCCATCCAATAGCTTTGACAGCTCCATAAATTTCTTCCAACCCCAATCATGCTCCTTTTTCCAGAATCGGTGTAATGTATCTATTCGTTTAAGAAAACATGTCAAGGATGTCTGCACACATCAGGGTGTAGAAAACGAAGAAATAATGATAATTTACCAATTACCAGAATACTTTGATTTTTTGGGATCTTTATTGACCACACATATAGTGAACTGAGCAAAATGACTCCAGCCTGCCCATCAGACCAAAAGGATCAAATAAATTCATGTGAATTAGAGTCTCGGAAATTTATCTACTTATTTTTTTAATTATCACCATACCTGGCAAAAGCTTCTCATGGTTGGCAACACAAAGGAACAAGGAAAGATGATTGCAGACATCACAGCCTTGTGGGTATATCAAAATGTACCTGTCAAAATTTAATTCCGTAAATGGGGACAAGTCTTGCTGTAACGTCACCATGCCAAGTAGTTGGATATCATGAAATGATTGATAATACTCAAAAGGAAAATAATGCGATCAAATAGAAGAAACATAGATTACATTTAATCTTTTGCATAAAAATAATGACCAACAAAGCATTTAAATCATTCCAATTTTGATATCAGACCATACCATTTATAGCCTCCAACATCAAATGGATCACTGCGAAGCTCTCTTTTGTTAATCTGGGAGAACTTCTCAATCTTCCATGTGTTCTTTCCGAATAACTCAGAAGGTTTTGGGCCTGCAAAAAGAGAAAAGGGGGCGAATACCGCATATTACCTATCTTGTATGCCTGAATTTTTGTAGTGTGAAATCCTTAAACTCCAAAGAAACAAAATAAAATATCACGACTGAAAATTCTACAAATTCTAGCAACTTCAGTGAAGATCCAATCCCCAATGAACTATATTGTAGTTTGCACCAATCACCAGCTTCTACCATATCGAACCTTTAATGGCTAGAAGACAAATACAACCATAACGTACACGGGGTTCACCAATTAATTGTTATACATGCGGATACATAATTACCAAATATCTCAGAATCCTCTTTCTTTATAAGCTGAAACTGATGGCAGGTAGGTAAGCAAACATGACACGCAAGCATAACAAGAATCGAGATATTCCACGACAGATACCAAACTTACTAGCAACATAGATGAAAAATCATTTATCACACTGTAACGGCCAAAGCGCACTAAAAGACAAATATTGCAATACATAAAGCACAAATGGCAAACCTCCATCATCGTCATCATCACTGTCCCAATACGGAGGTGAAGTAGATGGAGTCCCATTTTCAACCTGCTCCGATGACCTCCACTCCGCCATCGCTTCCCCGGCTTGACAGCTCGCCTGCCTGCTCACTCCTTCACACTTTCCAGCACTTGGCTCCTCAGTTGCTGCTCCCGCCATTTCCCTGTCCTTAACTCCCCCAATTCCCTGCTTCACCAAAAACCAAATCCCACTTATGTTACCAAACAAATTACAACTTCCATTACAATCTGGAACAACAAAAAAACACCCCATCCCTTTTAGAATACATAAACTAAATACAGGTAATGTAGCCTTAACAATTTCGAAAACTCAGTCACTTAAGTGACTTACTGTTTACAAATCCTATATATATCATTTTTTGGAAGTGCCTGAACATTATCCATCGCTAAAAAGCACGCAACCTCAAAAACCCGCATCAGAAATCACAATCTTCCTTTAAACCCTAATTCCTATATCCCCAGATTGAAGAAGAAAACAAGAAACACGCATATAGTAAAACTGAAACCCACTCCAGAGCAAGACAGACATCTCAGAAAACCCAAACATGTTCCAAGAAATCGACGACAATCAATCCAAACATTTTTTGCGACTTTAAAGTGCCAATACCAATCAAATACCGAAAACCGACATCAGAATCGGTTTAATCCATCCCGAAACACCCAAACCCACCCCCCCACCGCTTAATTCAGAAAACCCCAGGAACAAACAAATACAGAAATCAAAAACCAAAACTGAACCGAACCGAACATCGCAAGAAAAATCAAGAAACGAGAAAACCCACCAGTCCAATTCAGATCGAAGAACCCGAAACGAACAAGCCTAGAGATAAACCCAAGACGAAGCTGTTTCTGATAATTTCACTCAGGTGGGCGTGGGCAGAGGCAAGATTGGAGAAGAAGGCGGATGGAAAACAAAAGGGGGGAGTTTAGCAGAAGATGAGTAGAGGGCGGAGGACATAAAAATTACCTAAGTGCTATTTTGATATTTATATATAATTTCCTGTAATTAATTTATGCACACGGCGACAAGTATTTCCAAAAACGTCCTCGAACGTTTTCTTATTTACATGTCTGGTCCCTGCCATTAAATTCACACTCCACACCTTCCCACTTGCTTGATCGATTCTTCATTTTCATTCCCAATTTTGCAAATGTTTTTGCCCCAAATTTAAATATGTTTTAATATATTTTCTCAAAAATATTATACTATAATATACATTTATTATTTTTATATATTTTATATACTTTATTATATTTCATATAAAAAATAATCATTTAAATTATCTACAGCACAAACGCATTCTTAGTCATTGCAAGGTCCAAGTGGAAAATGAATCAATAAACATTCAAGAACGAGTTGATTTTCTTGCATATTTCTCGTATTTTTATATTATATATTTGTTTAAAAATATTAATATATCACGTATATTTATTATTTTTATATTTTTTTACACAATTTTTTATATTTTACATAAAAAAAAATTGTCCTTAAAATTATCCTACAAAACAAATACACTCTTAACCATTGAAGAGGTCTATGTGAGAAAAAAATCAATAGACACGTCAAACTCTTATAAATCAAGCGGTGAGACATTCATCTTGAGGGTTGGGTCTAAGTTCAATTAATAATTACTTTTATTTCTCCAAATTAAAAATATGTCGTCAGTGATTCAAATCTATGCTCACACTTTTCTTTTTGGATTGTCATCGAAAAATATTCTCATTTCCTTAAGTAAAAAATCATTCCACTTTTGTACTTTTTTTTTACTATAAAAGAAAAAATTAACAATTATTACTATTTTTATTAAAACTCGTGTCTGGTCAAATGAGCACACATTTGCATGACGAAGGGAGTAGTAATTTTTTTCAAAAGTGTCCTATTAAGTTTTTATTTTCTATTTATTATATTATATTAAAAATTAATTTTATATTCAAAATACTAAATCAAACAAATATTTCAATTTAACTTTTTATTATTCAGAATATAAATCTAAAATTATTATTATATTTTTTTAGTAAAAAATATTTATTTTTACAAAATTTTTTGTTTGGTTTATGTTTAAAATTGAAATTTTAATTTTAATTTTAATCTAAATAATATTTTAATATAATATTTTATTAGACGGAATTATATATGTTTATTATGGTCATTGTTCTTTATAAATTAATAATGATATTTGCTTTTAACTATTGCAATAACTTACCGTATTTAGATTGGCCAATTTAAACATATGTTTGTAACAACAATTAAGATAATTTTGAGATCCTTTCAATTGAAATTTTATCCCAACTAATATTCAAGATATAAAAGATAATTGTAATATTATAAGATATATTCCCTACTTTTGTGTCAAAATTTATTTATATTTTTTTATAAGAGCTTTTATATTGGTTGATAATTAATTTTATATTATTTATATAATTCTCAAAACTTCGTATAATATATATATTACATTATGTTACAAAACAAACACACAAAAATATTTTCTATATTAAAAAAAAAACACACACACACACATTTGAATAATTGATGTAGTAATATTTAATGTCAATAATATATTTGTAAGTAATAATCATTGTATTTTAATAATAATTGGTGATAATTTTGATATGTAGAATTTTTTTTTTTAAACGTAAAGATTAGCAGCGGCTATTCGAAGAGTGTGCTTTGGATAAACTCCCGATCGAACCTAAAAAAAGTTTAAAACCATTGTAAAGGCTATTTTATTTTTATAATGAATAATATTAATGTGGAAATATTGGTGTAAAGTCCGTCTCTCGTTGATTTTCAAAAAAAAATAAAAATTAATCACAGTTGTATTATATATATATTTATATTACTTTAAATAATTATTTTTATTTAAAATTTTATTTTTCAAAATCTCAAATCCACAACAAAACATCTGCAAACAAACATTACATAAGAATTTTAAATTTAAATATAACTAATAATAATAATAATAATAATTCCATGAGTTTCTTCCCCCTCTACTTCTTCCCCTTCCTTTTACGTTGTGCCGCCTTTCTCCCGGAGACAAATTCGGCCGCCGCCGCCGCCGCCTGCTGAAACATCCAGTGAGTTTGTTTTCTTTTCTTCTTTCTCTTTCTTCTCTTTCTGATTATTTCTCTACTTGGTTCTTCCACTATATATATCAAGGAAATCAAGTTTATTTTAACATTTTTGTTATCTCTTTCCGCATTTTTTTTATTCCACAGTTTCTTCCGCCGGTGGTTGCAGCCGCCGACGATTCGTAGTTCTTTGGCCGAGCGGAGTAAAGGTGTTTTTTCGGTTTTTACTGTGACGAAAAAAAAAAAAAAAAACTGAAATGATTTGTGCCAGTGTAAGCACGACCTAGTGGAAGGGTAGTGTAGGGTAGGATTTGTAGGTTGTGTTATCGCTAAGTAAACACAGCCTATAATTTTGGTGTAATTTGCCATGGAAAACGCACCTAATCTGCCTTTCAAAGTTGGAGGACTGGCCGAAGCAAAATCGTTCCAGCAAGGTTTTCGTGGTGCGTGGTTTCGATGCAAGGTAAATAAGGGGTGTGTTTAGGGCGTGATTATTTGTTTTTTTTGGGTGTATTTGGATTTTTTGGAAGTGGAAAACAATGGTTGGATGCCATAATTTGAACAGACTTTTAGATATTAATGCTTGAAGAACATTTGGCGTTTGCTGATTGTGTTATGTTTGGTTTCACCTTGGAAAGGGAAACTGTGTTTGCGGCATATGTTCACATGTGTTATTTAGGCCTTTCTGGTTGATTAGCTCTTTGTTTTTGATATCTTAATTATGGAAATGCTAATCCTGTTTACATCGTTTGTCTTTTTAAGAATTTATGTTTCTGTTGCCTAAGTGGTTCTCTGTTTTCTTCTCGCAGATCAAAGCCATCGGGGAGAAGAAAGGATCTGCGTCGTGTCTTTTAGAATACTATGATTTTCCCGATGAAAGTAAGAGCCTGCAGTTTAGTTTAGTGAATACTTTTCTCTTTGGTTCTTGAAGGGGTTTATAGTTTTTTCAACTTTATTGGTTATAATTGTTTTTAGATCAATCATCTTTCTATCATTGTTTTAGATCAACTTTATGGTTTTTCCCACCATACTTATCATTTTTGTGGTAGAAATTGTTGTGTTGGTTGGGGGTTTGAATTTTCGGTTTGAGTTTTGAATTATAAAAAAAATTGAATTTGAATAGTTGTTTAATGTGATATAAATAGGTATGGACGAGATGTATTGAATGTATAATTAATTTTTGATATGATATAAAAATAAACAATTGAGGTTTGATTTGATGTTTAGGCAAAAAAATTGATGAATATTAAAAATTTATAGAATCCTCCAACCAAACACATGAGATTCGTTTTTCTTTGTTTGTTTGTTTCTTCTTTTTTTGTTAAACTGCTCTAAGTTCATTTGTACAATAAATTATAGTCTTTGTTTGTTCCTAGTACTTTTAATCAGGTAATGAACACTAGGCTAGAAAAGCATACTTTTCTGAAGATGGTTGGTGTTTTACTGTTCTCAAGGCATGATTTTCTTTTCTCGTTAGAATTTTAAACAAATCTATTTTATGTTTGAAATAAATTTCAAATTAAAGGCTTGTTAGCTGCATCTGAATTCTGAAGCTATTTTGATTCTTCTTCTTCTTCTCCTTCTTCTTAGTTCATTTATTTATTTTGAGGAGAATGAATATTACATAATGCTCATGAGACACCTTTACTAAGTACAGTAATATAGATGAATTTCTGGGTTGACTTTGTTAATTAGTAAGACTAGATGTGACGAAGTTGAAATATGGCAGGCAAGCAAGTTTATATCAAATTTGATTACATATTAATCTTCTTAAAATTCACTAAGATCCAAGCCTGGATTTCAGAACAGTAAAATGCAGTGGAAATTTTGTGCTTGATACATTATTAAGGTTATTTTATTTTATTTTATTTGTTTATTTTTAATGGATGAAGTTTTGGCTCCAGTATTTTATTCATGAAAGAACAACTTGTGAAATTGTCTGAGAAGTGTAGTGAGTGGAACTAACCCTGTAACTAAATTTACATTACCGAAGAACATGGGTGTCGTGCAATAAAGAAATAAAATGTTTTGCCTTACACCGACGCTAATGGAATTTGTGTTCTTGTTTCTAATCATCTTGACATTTTAAATTTTATTCCATACTGATTACACACCGAAAAAAGGGGCAGTGAATTGGTTGTTATTTGTGGAAACAAAGGTCTTTCGGTCGTTATTGGAGGGAGCAAGCAAGTTTGCCACATCTGTGGAACAATTTTGTGCAAGTGAACACGGGAAAATGTTGTAAACTATCTATTGTTTAGTATTCTAGAAGTATTTGATGACAGATGGATGTGACTACTACTAGGCATGTTTGCTTATTATAGTACCTGAGTTCATGTCTTCGTTCCTCTCAAATCATTTTAATATTAACCTAATATTTCTCACTTTGTTTTCTTATCTTTCTGTATTCTTCATTGGCCTTAGTGAGAAGTTCAAAATTGGTGAAAAAAGAAATTATTAACCTTTAGGAGTATGGATGTAGAAGATGAATATGTTCATATATTCCTGCACTTAGAATTTTATGTTTATTAATTTTTCTGAAAGCCTATATATATTTCAATTTTTGTTGGTTCTTTCTCTAGAACAAAAATGGACAAAGCTATATCAAATGCCCCCTCACACTTCGCGAAAGGCAAGAGAGAAATCTAGAGAATTGATTCTAAGGCCACACTATCCAGCTATCTATAGTGAAAAGCAAATCCCTGATGTTAATATGAATTCAGAAGTGGCGGTAATCGTTGATAATTCCTGGAAGGTGGGGGATTTGGTTGACTGGTTTACTACTGGTTGTTATTGGTCTGGAACAATCACAAAATTATTGGATGATGACAAAGCTGTGGTAATGATTTCTTATATTATGTTTACTTGGTGTCTGTACATCTAGCTTTATTTGCTTTTGGCAAAAATGTTTCTGTGAAATTTCAGTACTTAATTTTCATACTTAAGATTACCTCAAAAAAGAAGAGTTAAGTAAGCTGGAACTTAGAGGCAAAGAGGAGAAACTCTAAAGATGTATTTACTTTTAATAACTCGCTGATTGGCACTTTATACAGATTATTTCATTTCCTTCACAATTTACTCAAGTATGCTGTTTTCATTAGTATTTTGGTCAAGGATGTTGGGGGGTGTTATTTTCTCGGGATGTCACCATAATTATATGTATTCTTAAGGCGGGATAACCTGAAATATACCATATTAGAAGTATCCATTTCATGATAAAAATTCAATAAAAAACTTTTAACTCCGTTGGTGCTTTTAATAGTAATTATCATGTGGAAAATAGCAATTAACATGGTGACTAATACAGTTATTTGGTGAGTGTTCTTTTCAGTTGATGCTGCACCCACCTCCCTTTGGCGAAGGTTTAGTTTATGATATTCCTCTTAAGGATGTGCGCCCTTCATTAGAATGGTCTCCAAAGTCCGGTTGGACACTGCCCACCCAGGTCTGTAATTTGTTTTTTAAACATTTTGTAATTGTATTATGGTATTTTTTTGAGGCAAGTATCTTTCAAATTTGTTGTTACCTGATTCATTTCTAACTAGTGCTCAAGGCCCATCAACATTCTTCACATGACGTACTTGTATTCATTATGCTTTGATATTTTTGAATACTTTGTGAACTTCTTACTGTCAATTTTTTTCCATTGAAATGAATATATATCCACTCTTTCATGAAATTCTTATATTTTGTTTGAGTGTACAAATGAGTGCAAAATCTTGTAAAATTCTAGGTTGATAATATGATAGCAAATCTCTTTGATCCAACATGACCAGGGAAGAGTAGTAGAAATTCTTTAGTATAATACTTTGTTTTGAAGTTCTTTGTATGGAGTGAAGGTGACCGACAAATGGGGAAGAGGTGATAATCTACTCGGGTGCTATATTTCTTGCCTTCTTGATTCCTACTAAATAGTACAATTTGTTGTGTTGAGATAATTTGGGCCTCGGCCATTATTAGTCATACTTGTCAGTGTTAGGTGATTTTATTTATATAAGATTCTACTTTATTGTATTAGGGTTGAGATAGATTTATCCAATTTATTTGACCGAACTAAAAATTAATTTCATTTCATCAATGTTATTATTCAATTGAATGGGTTTGGAACATGTGTTTCCAACACTTGTTGATAACTCACTAGTCCTAGATGCTTATATAGCCAGTCGAATGCTAAGACAAAAAATTATTAAATAACCAAGACCTAATTAACGTAACCAGCATCCAAATGGGCTTTTAATACTATCCTCCCTAACATATGATGCTATGCTTTCTTCATTCTCATTAAATACCCCGATTACAGTTGTTTGCATTTGATGATTATAAAGAAAAATGATTTTTCAATTTAATCTTATTTAACTTGGTGAACTTTCTCTTTTATGTATGGGAAATTACATCTATCTTGTTATGGATTGCAGGATACTGACCCAGGCCGCTTCTGTGCTCGGCTTATTAAATTTAGAAATCATGGTATAATCACTGCCTTTGACACTTCAACTTATTAAATATCATTTGTCAAAATTGTTTGGAATTCTCATGAATGTGTGTAAGATAAGTTACACGGCTGTTTGATATATACTTTCCCCTGTAAGCTGATTTCATAGTGTGCTAATTTCGAATCCTTGACTTGCTGTTACATCTTTCATAATTCGACATTCTTCTTTTAGGGCATTATAAAATTTTCCCTTCAGTATTACTTGAAATGTTTTTCCCCTGCTCTATTATGTTGTTCAACTTAGCCAATTTAGTAGTTCTTAAATTCGGTCTAGTATGAATTTTTTGTTTAAGCGAGGATGGTCATATTTGTATTCAATTTTGGTTCCTCTACGATTTTGTGTAACTTAATATGAACATTAACCAGCTTTAGGAACTGTTCTATTTTTCTCTGGCGCCGATATCATTGTTGCCATTTAATCTTTCTGTTTCATTTTACCAAATATGCTAAAGCTAATACACTTAAAAGCCGTTGTTCCGTGTAACGAAATGATGGGATCATATTTAATACCCAATGCATAAAAAGAAATAGCATTCAAAGTTGAATAAAGAGTTTTTTTGTTCTACAGTACATACAGACTGATTTGATTGTTTGATTTCTTAGTAGAACTTTGGTTTTTTTTATATTTATTTTAATTTATCTCTTTTTGGTAGCTCGTCAATAAATTAAACAGTGCCGACAACTCAACAGGTACTGCTGAACTTCAAACCATGGATGCCGAAACTCAGGCTGGAACATCCGTGGGTCCGTCTCTCTCTTCTAGGGCATCCTCGAATTCATTAGCTGTTTCAGATGACCTGAAGAGTATTGGAACAGCAGATATACAGACACAATCAGCAGGACCATCGGTTTCTAAGGACACGGAAGATATAGAGGGAAATACCAAAAGCCCGAGAGGTAGGGAAAGCACCGGAATTGCAGATGTTAATTCTCGACACGCTCCAGCCGAAGTTTCCGAGAAGAACATCCAGTCGAGTAATCCTGGAGCCACGAAAGAGGCTACTCGACATCTCATTCATTCCGATCCATTCGAAGCATCAATCTTGGATTTGCAGGAATGTCTGAATAAAATCAAAAAGCTTAAAAAGGACTTAAATGGACTTTCTTCGTCCGATACTCCCTCGCTGCAATGGAAGTTCGTGGAACCGAGCAGCGTCTCCTCAAAAATGTCGAAATGACTGCTGATAAACCGGTAAACATTTTCTACCCCGGCTCTTTAAAATTAGCAATTATACGCAAGTTTATTACATTAGTTAAATGTTTGTGATGCACATTCGATTTTGCAGATCATCGATGCTTCTCGTAGTTACGGTGAGATTTTTGATGGGCTTATGTCAAACTAAACTTTGTCACATAAACACATTTACATCAGTAGTAGTAAATCTTGATTACATTGGAAGTTTTATCTTCTCCTTTGTCATTTGGATATGCATAATTTTGGATTCTGCAATATATATTATGTGGCGATAGAACTCGAATCTTTCGTACGACTATATTAAATGATCATCTCATCTGATCTTACTCCGATGTTTCGACAATGCAAATAACTGCTTAGGCCATCTCCAACGGGACTGCAATTTTGACGGTGCAGCCCCATAGATGCAGTTTTCAGTCTCTAATCCTGTGCTATTTTTGACATAAAAAAATTGGTGTTTGCTAACATTGTAGCAACGGCATTTTTATGGAGTTGTGTTTTTTTTTTTTTTTGTATATTAATTAATTTATTTATTTATATATATATTTTTTTAAAAAATATTAATTCTAGATATAAAAAGTGATTTAAAATAATATATACGATAAAATATTTGAAGAATATTAGTTTTGGAGTAAAAAATGGAGCTGTGAATTGTAGTGAAATTACTGTAGCAACTGCATTTTTAGAGTTATAATAACATAAATGGAGTTGTTCGGTTGGTGATGGCCTTAACGTAAAAATTTGTGGGGATTTCTTGTTAGGTGTTTGTTTGGTTCGGGATTGAAATTGAGTGTTATTTAATTTTGTCTAAATAGTATTTTTATTGAAAATGGTGAAGGAGGAATAATATTTATTTAATTTAAAATGGTAAAAAAACAATGTCTGAGGTAATTTTTTTTTTTTTTTTTTTTTTAAATAAAAATTGGTAGCTTACAATCATATTCAGATATTTTTTTCATTATCAATTTGCATATTCAGGTGTCTAATTTTTTTAAAATATCCCTTTCTGTATTTTTGGTCGGATCAGATGTTTTAGAACAAAATCATTTTAAATAATGTTAAAAAAAATTCATATACGTTCATGATAAATAATTTATGTTCAATAATACTCCCTTCATCTTTGGTAAAATTTAATAAACTAAAATATATTTAATAAATATAAATCATGTAACATTTATGCAATTTTTTATTTTTATTTTATTTCTCTCTAATAATTTTTTTTTTATCTATATTTAATTTTTTTTATAAAATTATTATATTTTAATTATAAATAAATAAATATATTTTTATTTATTTGTATTATTTTAAATTTTATTATCTATAAATAATATTTTATAGTGTATATATTTTATTAAGATATTATATTTAAAATATTTTTAAATATATATTTTAAATTTATTTTAATTATATATAGTAATTCTAATTTTAAAACTACAAAGAGTACTAATGATATAAAATATAATAAAATAATACTCAAAATCGACAAATCAATATTTATTTATTACTTTTTATTCAACATTTATTTATTACCCTTTATTAAACACTTATTTATAACAAATACCACAATTTTTATTACAATTTTTTCTTTTCATTTACTTTCATTTCTAACCAAATTTCCAAAAATACCCTCAACTACCTCTCACTTTTTCAATAAAATATTTTTTTTTTAAACTCTTTGTCGAATCCAAATTAACTATTTTTAGTAGACGAATGGAGCTAGTCACCCAGCAAAAAACAAATATTATTAATTAATTAAATTTTATTATTATAAATATTGTGTTCTAAATTAAATGAACGAATAAAATATTTCTTTGAATTGTGTAAACCTTTCAACCTAAATAGTTTTAGGGTTTGTACAAGATAGAAAAAGTTAATAATATTCTTAAGTTTAGGATTTGTATAAGATGGAAAAATTAATAATGTTCTTTTCGTTTAATTTAAAAGTATATATTTATTTTTTTGGATGGAATTTAAAAAATAATAATATTTTAAATATAATGAATAAATAAAAGTGACATAAACAAAAAAAATTATTCTTTTTTTATGGTGTAAAAATAATAATGTGATGATAAAATAAATATATTTATAAAAAATAAGATATATTAAAAATGATTATTTTATAATTGAATAACTTAAAATATTAAATATTTTGTAAGTGGACAAGACACAAATGTAGTATCTATAAATACGATTATGTTAAAATGATTTATAAATAGGTATTTTAATATATTTTTAATAACAATAATAATAATAATAAAACGGAAATTTGGTTGGAATTTTCTGAATTTTTTTACTTTTTTAGTATTTTTTTCTGTTAAAAAAAGTGAATTAAATATTTATTTATATTATATTAATAACTAATAAAATTTTAAAAATTATTATACAGAATTCAAATTAAAAACCCAAATTATCAAACAAACACACTATAGGTACTCGTGTAAACTACTGCCCATTGGGCTTGTTTGTGTAATTGAGTAATTGATTATTTAGTACTCATTTCTCCCCGACAGACGTGACAATTTATAATAAGTATAATTAATAGAGAACTAAGAATGTATTAATAAAAATAATTATTTTATAATATAAATAATTATAAATTAAGGTTAAGATAATTAATTAGTTTAATTAAAACTAAAAAAAATAAATTAGAAAATTTAAAATGAGATTAAAGTGTTGTTGATGCAATTTTTCAACAATAAAAAGTAAAATCCGAAAATAATTTCGAACTTAGAATAAAAATCTATTCGTAGCATAAAAAAGTATAATATATGAAAAATTAAAAGTTGACCTCCAAAAGAAATCTGCAAACAAGTAGATTTTTTCTGAGATTTGAAGATTCTTTCTACAATAAATCCAAATCCTTAAATGTTCCTTCAATAAAATGTTTGGAATCGTGTCTGAACAGTTACCCAGAACTCAACTGGCCCAATCGACTGCCTCTGGGCACCTTACTTCTTTAAATGGACGGCCAGTCCCGAACGAATGCTCCAAACGCCCAGCATGCTTCAGACAGACTGCAGGCCGACCGACTGAACCTACCGAATAACTCAACAAATTACCAACCGACTGGTCGCTAGACCAAATGACTACTTAGTCGCCCACTCGGGCGACCACCAATTAGTCCCCTCAAATAACTGAACAAACATCTGTCCAAACGATTCATTAAGCGCCCGATCTTCTCTTATCCGACCTCCATATCAGCCGACCAGCTCAACCAACCGTCTGACCTCACTTGGTCCGACCACGGGCCAACCGACCTCGGAACAACCGACTGCGTACCAACCGAACGCGGACCAACCGATTGCGTACCAACCGAACGCGGACCAACCGATTGCGTACCAACCGAACGCGGACCAACCGATGGCGGACCAACCGACGGTGAACCAACCGAACGCGGACCAACCGACAGTGAACCAACCGAACGCGGACCAACCGACCGGCTCTGTTTGCCTTATCTCCTTAGATGGACAACTGTTCAACAGACTATCCTGAAAAAAACCTCTTAATCAATCTGGCGGGCCCAACAACGGGCCTACATCTCCTTTTATCTTGGACTTTTTATCCTAATTTTAAAATTCATACGTAACAAATGTATAATTATTTTCAAAAAAAGAAAATAACATTGGATGTGAAACGGACAAAAACGACGATGTGGACATAATAGGTGAGACGGAGCAATTAGTATCTAATTAATTAATTAATTATACAAGAGTTTATCAACAAAATTATTTTAAAATTTATTGCTGTCATTCTCCCAACGGCTATTTGTTTTGTGTAACCTGCAAAAATAGACTTGGAAAAAGATTATAATCATAAATTACTAAGCAATTTTATTGTCTGGACATGCAGCAATGTGTTTTTGTCTTATCATCATTTACTTTTATATACTATATTATCATAAAAATATATATATATATATATATATTATATTATCATATAAAATATTATTATTAAAGTTACTAATGAACACAAATATTATTATTCAATTTTGTTCTTATTTTCTTTATAAATTTAAAAAAAAGGAGAATTACAAAAGAAATGAGAATATAACCCAAACTTCTAATTACTTATGCTTCAACTATTTTTTTTGGTATTACTATCAAACCTTTTCTTTTAAGAAAATAAAATACATTTTTATATAAATTATTATATATTTAAATATCATATTAAATATTTATTTATATCACATCAAATATATATTTTATATATTTTTTTTATAAATTTTAAATAACTACAAATTCCAAAATTTTCATATACTCTTTTCGTTCCAAATGTATTTCATCTTACTTATCTGATGAAAAATTTTAAAAATACTGACATTTTAACGACAATAGATGTAACATTCCAAAATGTTAAGTATTTGATGATACAATTGATTTGAGATGAACCAAAAACATAAAATCTGACAATAAATATGAAACATAGTAAGTATCTTTTTTTTTGTATATTTTGTGGGATTTTGTTCTCGATTTTATTTCGTATAAAATTATACTGTTCTAGTCCACTTAACGGTGTGTTTGTTTGGGGATTAGATTTTAAATTCACTATTCATCTAATTTTTTTTCTCAAAAACATCAAATCAAACACCTATTTTTCATTTTTTATATTATACTAAAAATCAATTTTACATTCAAAATATTACGTCAACACCTATTTATATCACATCATACAACTATTCAAATTTAAATTCTTTACTATTTAAATCTCAATTCAAAATCTAAACCCCAAACAAACAAAGTACTCGTTTGTTATTTCAACTCTCCAAAGACAAGCTAACAATTTTATAACGAATCATACTACACATTATAAATATTTTCAAAATTATATTAATACTATTACATTAAATTATACTTAAGTATGAATACATAGCAATACATGCTCTTATTTTATCGTGTATGTACTATTTGCATTAAAAGTGACAAATTTTTTTGGCCTAATTTTTTTTTGCTTTGGATTGTCTGATTTTTATTTTTTTTTATTTTTATATAAGTACACACTGGATAAATTTTCGACATAATCTAATACTAAACAAATTAGGCCCGACAGGCAAATCACACTAAGCGAATTATTTATGACAAATGACCACATCGGGATTTGATCCATAACCTCGTGATCACAAGTCCAATTCCCACACCACCACCGTATTTTTTTTTATAAAATATTATATTGGATTCACAACTTAAATAAAAAAAAAAAATAATAATAAATTCAATATTTAAACATAAAACTAAAGAAAGGCAAGGTATCTCATCAAATTTCATCCAATCCACTAGATCCTACATTTTGTCGCTTTTACAATTCCACATTTTATAATTTATAAATCTCTAATTAAAAAATAAAAAATAAATGCAAAACAATGTTCCATTTTTTGTTGTATATCTTTCACACTGCTCTCTTTAAATACACTGCTACAAATTTCTCACCGGAGCCATCCAAGTTACCACTAATTACACTTGAGCCCCCCAAAAATGGCCGCCGTTTCTCTCCACTCCATCCTCAGCCGGCACACGGCGGAGCCGCCGCCGCAGCCTCTCAACACATGCACCGTCCAGCAGCCACGCGCCTCCCTCAGCCGCCTCCACATGCTTCTCCACTCCGCCGCCGTCTCCGCCGTCCTTTATTACCGGCTTTCCAGCCTCGCCGCCGGCGGAGTTCCGGCGATCTCCTGGAGCCTCATAACTCTCGCCGAGGCCGTCCTCGCCTTCGTATGGATTCTGGCGCAGGCTTTCCGGTGGCGTCCGGTGGTCCGCGCGGCGGCGCTGGAGAATCTTCCGGCGGACGACGAGCTACCGGCGGTGGACGTGTTCATATGCACGGCGGACCCGAAGAAGGAGCCGGTGGTGGAAGTGATGAACACGGTGGTGTCGGCCATGGCGCTCGACTACCCGCCGGAGAAGCTGGCGGTGTACCTCTCGGACGAAGGCGGCGCCGCCGTGACCCTGGATGCGATGAAGGAGGCGTGCGGATTTGCGAGAGATTGGATTCCGTTCTGCCGGAAATTTGGAGTGAAGACTCGTTGCCCTGAGGCGTTCTTCTCTGCTTTCACTGAATCTGAGAGGGAAGTTCTTCAAAACCATAGTCAATTTGAGGTTGAAGAAGAACTCATTCAGGTAATAATTTTCAGTTTCTATATATATATACATATATATATTTATTATTTGGAGTTTCTTCACACAATTTTTTTTTTAATATATACTCAGTCATTCCCACGTAACATGGGTGTATTACTGTAAACACGAGAATTTAGGTAAAGTATAATTAGTAAGTAATTAAGAAATATATTAGTAAAAATAATTATTATTTAGTAAAAATAATTATAGATTAAGATAAATAAATAGTTTAATTAAAATTAAGAAAATTATAAAATTTAAAATGCGATTAAAGTGCATAATTATATTTTTAAAAATAGAAAGAACAAGTTACGGACGAAAATAGAAAATAGGAACAAATTATATGGGACAGAGGGAGTACATTTTATCCTCTAACAAAAGTAAATATTTAATATAAAATATTATTTTTTTATATTAAATTGTTTTATATTTCATATTAAAATAAAAATTTTAAATCAAAACACAAAACAATCAGTAACTGAGTCTTTATATACTTTTTTTTAAAAAAATAAAAATAAAAATAATACACTCTGTGTGTCCACAAAAATATACTCTTCCTCTACTGTCATATTTTCCATTTTTGACATATTATGTAATTTTTTATTTTGAAAAAGTATTTTACATTTTAGTCGTATTTTAAATTTTATAATATATGAATTTTATAATTTTTATTAAATTAATTATTTAGATTAATTTTAATTTATAATTATTTATATTATATTGTAATTAATTTTATTAATATATATTTAATTATTTATTAATTATACCCCTCAAATTCTCGTCTGTACAGTAAACATTACACTATAATTAGGTGGGAGGAAGTACAAATTTTTTTATCACTATAATTTTTTTATTTATAGTAAAACATTTATATATAAATATATATTTAAGTTATAGATTTGCCGATTACTTATTCTAGAAACGTGTCTAAATTATTTATTCTTTTAACTTATTTAAATTATTTTCAAATATCTCATTTTTTATCCCATACGTGACCTGGTGGTTTGGGATATTACTTTTTATCAGTAATTATAATAATTTTTTATGTCAATTAAATTTATATAATTATTTATAAAGAAAAAAATATATATTTCTTTGTAATTTTATTATTTTTTAATAAATAACAGTCAATTTGTTACTATTTTTCTATTTTTATAATTTTTTTAAGAAAGATTTATAAACAAATTTCAAATACAATCAAATGCAAACCTTTTGAAATCTATTTATTCTTATAAAATATTAAATTAATATGTAATTTTATTATTGTTATTATAATTTTTAATTCTAAAAAAATAAACTTACACTAAAAAAAAATAGTATATTTGTAACGGAATTCCGTTTCTAAAGTTTCACGTAACTAACGTAATTTCATCTCTAATTCCGTCTCTAATATCTTTAGTAACGGAAAAAGTGAATTTATTAACGAAAAAATCTCGTTATAAAATTGATAATTTCTTGTAGTGCTATATCTAATCGAAGGGTTATATATATATATATATATATGCAGTCAAAATATGAAACTTTCAAGAGAAATGTGGAAAAGGCTGCTGAGATTGAGATTGAAGATTCAGTGAACCACGATCGCCCTCCTTGCGTCGAGGTACTTTTAATAAATTATTATTATTATTATTATTATTATTATTATTATTATTATTATATATAAATATTTTATTTTATTTTATTTTATTTTATTGATGTATGTATATTATATATATATATATTATATAATATTTAATTTGGAATGAATTGAATACAGGTGATACACGACAGCAAGACGGATGATGGAGGATCAAAGCTGCCGTTGGTTGTGTACGTATCACGTGAGGAAAGACCATCCTACCCTCATCGTTTCAAGGCTGGAGCCCTCAATGCTCTCGTACGTTTAATTTTATTTATTTATTTTTTGCATATGCGCACGCAATTTCATGGCTACTTCAATTTATTATTATTATTATTATAAAGGAAATAAAAGAAAAATGTAGATCGAATCTTACAAACTAAAAATGAAAACATATAATAGGCTCGAAGTTTTTAAAATTTTGATATATTTTAATAATAGTAAAAACTTTAATATTTAATAGTATGATATTTTGATAGAAAATAGATATTAAAATTTGATACTTTTTGTTAATAAAATTATTAATAATAAAAATTTAAAAATATATGTAAATAAAATCGACGAGTCATTTCTTCGAACAAAAGAAGATTACTTTAACTCTTACTCGAAATCTCAATTATCAGATTTTATTGTGAAACACACTTTTTTTTTTTTTTTTTCCTGAAGAATTTGCTATGATATACCCGATCCATGCATGCATAATATCATGACAAATAGGTACAAATTATATATATATATATATATTTGTTAACTCATGGATGATTCTTATTGTAATTTGTTTTGATGTTATGATAATAATCACTTTAAATACCTAATTTCATTATTTAACATAAGGGGTATTGAATAATTGCATCACATGAAGTTAAGTAAACATTATTTTAGACTACATAATAAAATAATTTTCATATAAAGAATTAAAGTTACAGCTTAATTAGTCTATTTATATTTTTTTAAATAAATAAAAAATAAAATGCAACTTACATACATTCTATTCATATAATTGTGAAATAAGTTTGTTACGAGAAATAAAGCATAGGAATAGAAATAAAATTATTTTTTATCATATTCTTTAGATTTAATAAATAAAAATTGAGTAATAATTTATTATTCTCAATTTTCAATTCTCTCATATTTCTATTACCATCATCACATATCGTCTTGGTCAGAGGGTTTGGTAAATCAATAGTAGAATTTTATAATAAACATATTAATTAATGTATTTTTTAGATGATTTAATTTTTGCAATCTTTATATACATTGAATAAATGAAAATGATTTTTTGTTATATATATCAAATAGAAAAATTAATTCTTCAACAATTTTATTCGCTGCTATTATAATTTCCAACTATATTCACCACCGCATATATGAATCACATTTCCTCGCATTGTAGCTAAGAGTGTCCGGGATAATGAGCAACGCGCCGTATGCACTAATCCTAGATTGCGACATGTATTGCAATGACCCGACCTCGGCCAAGCAAGCCATGTGCTTCCATCTAGATCCCGAATTATCGAGCACACTTTCGTATGCACAATTCCCTCAAATATTTTACAACATAAGCCGAAACGACATATATGATGGCCAAGCAAGATCGGCTTACAAAGTATGTAACTTGTAACATTGTTGCATATTCTTACAATTCAATTCATTAAAATCGAGACATTATACTTAGTACAATTTTTTTTGAACATAGACCAAGTATCAAGGCATGGATGGGCTAAAAGGCACCGTTTGCGCCGGCACCGGCTATTTCTTGAAGAAGAAGGCCTTGTATTGTAGTCCTCATGAAAACGAAGGTATCACCTTACAATTTTACGATACTTTGACTGAACTTGTCGCACTTAAGATTTTTTTTTCTTGTGTTGAACAGATGAAGTTCTTCGAGATGTTGAGAAGAAGTTTGGATCCTCAAAACAATTGATTGACTCCGTGAAACACCTTAATGAGACGAGCACGAAGAAAAGAGAATTTACATCTCTAGCAACAATAGATGAAGCCAAGAAACTTGCATCTTGCACGTACGAACAAAACACAAGATGGGGGAAAGAAGTAAGTTTGCAAATCTTGTTTGCGAGAAAACTAAAAATATCGAAGCTTTTGATACTTAATTGTTGTAATGACAGATTGGTTATTCTTACGATTGTTTGCTCGAGAGCACATTCACCGGCTATCTCATGCATTGCAAAGGATGGAACTCGGTTTATCTATATCCCGAAACCCCGTGCTTCCTCGGATGTACTACCATAGACATGAAGGATGCCTTGGTGCAACTCATGAAATGGGCTTCGGGCTTGGTCCAAGTCGGGCTTTCTCGATTCAGCCCGCTCACTTACGGGATGTCGAGGATGTCCTCCCTTCAAAGCATGTGCTATGGCTACTTTGCCTTCTCCCATTTGGTCTCCATTGCTTGCTTGTTGTACGGCATTGTCCCTCAACTCTGCTTTTTCTACGGAATCCCTTTATATCCTAAGGTAAAAACTCTCGTTACATACACAATTTTGAAAATTTTAGCATTATTCATCAATCGTAATTATATATCTTTTCTTACAAAACATCACATCTAATACTAAATTTTTTATTATTGATAAGATTTTCCAAAATGTAGAACTTCAAAAATCTCTGTCTAAATAGAGTAATATCTTAATGGGTGTGTTTGTTTGTGAGTTTGGGATTTTGGGTTTGGATTTTTTAATAGAAAAAATTGAATTTGAATAGTTGTTTGATGTGATATAAATATATATTGATGTGATTTTGAATGTAAAATAAATTTATAATATAATAAAAAAAAATAATTGTTTGATAAGATATTTTTGGAGGGAAAGAAGAATCTTAATAGTAAAAATATGTTCTAAAACCCACAAAAGAACATAATTTATGTATTGTAACGGCGAACATATGTCTTGATTATTCATGTTTTCATACAAGTGATATTTCTTGGTTAGAAGCATTTATTTTAAGTTTTTAACACTATTTACCTGCCGAGGCGTTGTAACTCAACTCTTTACTATTTTTAAAATCTATAAAAATTAATTTTTTTTGTCTAAATAGAGTAATATCGCGACCTATAGTAACAAGCATATGTCTTTAATACTAATGTTGTCATATAGGTGACAAATCCTTGGTTCGGAGCATTCGCCGCTGTCTTCCTATCCTCACTCGGCCAACATTTATACGAGGTTATGTCGAGCGGGGGTTCAATTAGGACAATGTGGAATGAGCAACGGATATGGATGATAAAATCCGTAACGGCATGCCTATTCGGGTGCTTAGATGTCCTAATGAAGTATGCCGGTATGGCCAAGGCCAACTTCCGGTTGACAAACAAGGCTGTGGATCGGGAGAATTTGGAGAAGTACGAAAAGGGAAAGTTCGACTTTCAGGGCGCAAAAATGTTCATGGTGCCGCTAACGTTGTTGGTGCTACTCAACCTTGGATGCTTAGCCGGTGGCGCCAAAGGCTTTCTTGTCGATGGCACCCGGGCAGAGATGGTTGGACAGGGGTTATTGTTGACATACCTTGGCGTCCTCAGCATCCCGATTTTGGAAGGACTTGTGCCTAAAATCGGCAAATGAGGCTGTCGATTGCCCGTTTTGTTTCTTAATTTATGTAAAATTAGGTTTTTACTAAAAGCGCGTTTACTATGAAGAATACAATAAAGTTATTTAGTCATCGCATATTATTTAATATATATAAATTAAATAACTTTTAGTTATTACTTTATGTAAAGAGAGTTTAGTAGTAAAGTGAACTATTGATGTCATATCAATAAATTTTTACTATGATTGTAATTTTTACTTTATACTCTTTCATTTGTAATTTAATTTGTTTTTTATTTCAATTCAACTATAAAAAATAATTGAATTATGACAGCTTCATTGTGAAAAGGCATGATGGAATATTGGCACTAGAACGTCATTATAATATATTTTAAGACAAAGAAAAAGAAATTTAGATGGTCATTAATTAAAAACTGAAGAAAATTAAGATATAAACATTAATTAAAAACTGAAGAAAATTAAGATATAAAATAAGTAGCGCACTCGTATTTGCGGATAAATAATTAATGATTGTGTATTCCTAACAGTTCGAACTTTTGATTATATAAATATATATATATTTGATATGACGAATAATTCTAAAAGTCTAAAACATATGTATTTAATAAAATTGTTGATTAATCGACTGAATTTAATATTGATTAATCAATTAGTAGAAATGGATTAAGCTAAAAATTGCGATAAATAAATAGAGCTGGCCACGGGCATGGCTGCCTGAGCCCACGCTCAATGTCCAAAATTTTGGGCTCTTTCAACTTCTTTACATAAAAAACAATAAATATTATAAATATATGTATAATATTAAAATATTTATATTAAAAATTTTTTGATTATTTTTAAATTTAATTTTTTATTTTAATTTTAATTTGAATATATTTTGATATAATATCTTATTAAAAAATAATATAAATTTTTATTTGTAATAGAAAATGTAATTAAGTAAGAATTTTATTTTCTATTTTTGTCCGGAGTTCATCAAAATTCAAAAATCACCCGAATAAACATATGATACGGTTATCATTATTGGAATGATTAATGTTGGATTCGGCCTAAGAGGTGTTTTAGTGATTAATAAGATTAAGCTAAATGAGAAATTTAGTTAAGATGCTAATGATTCCACGTTGGCTATGACATCAAAATTTGATGTGTTTATCCATGATGATTTATAGAAGAAATCAAAAAGTGTGATTAGCTTGAAATGCATGTATATGATAATTCCAAATTTGAACATATATATTTTTTTTCTTGCAAAATATGTTTATTATTTGTATTTTTGTGTAAAAACTATCACAAATTCTGACTAAAATGTTAGCTCTTCTGCCAACTAGTCTGTTTTCTTCTAAGTCCCAAAAGCCGCGAACTTCTTCCAGCGACGTGAACCCGAGCTATAGAACCTAAAATGCGGCCAGAGACGGAACTACACAGGGGATAGGGCAGCTGACCTCAACTCCTGAAATATAATTTTTTTTTTAGTGTAAAAAATAATAAAATAATATATATTTTTTATTATTATTTTGGCCTCCCTCCTATTTTTCAAATTTTTATTTTATAGTGTAAAAGATAATAAAATTTTTGTAGTTTTATTGATTTATATTTTTAGATTTTAATTTTTTTAGTATAAATTATTGAATTTTATTAAATTTTCTTAAATATTTTTTAAAAATTTAATTTTTTAGCTATTTTTTCCTTTCTTCTTGTTTATCCGGTTGCATGGGGAGAAATCGGAAAAAAAAATATTAAATATAAAAAAAAGTGAATTGATATTTTATCCCCTTCCCCCCCTAAATTTTTAGGGGTAGTTCCGCCACTGAATGTCTTCTCATCCAAACTTCAAGTCCTGCTAATATCAATAACTAAATTAGGGTTTGGGTATGATCCTGAATAAATCGTAACTACTAGTTGTTAGTCAAAATCAACGAGTGAAAATTTTTATGCAAGTAAAATAAAATCATATAAAAGATGAATTGAACTATATATAAGAAATTTGTTGAACCACCTATGGAATATACTAAATCATATATTATATTAATCTATCACTCACAAAATATACATATTTTTATTTTGGATTGCAATTTTATTTTTTAATAAAGGTGACTTTAATCTCAGCCCTTAATTTTAATTTTAAAATTTAATTTAAAGATCATCAACTTAAAACTAAAGGTTGTGATATGATCCAAGACCTTATTAAAATACAATATATTTTAAATTACATGTCAAAGTAAATATTTACTTCTAAAATGAATGGAAGAAGTATAACATAACAATTGAAAATAAATAGGTTTCACTTATCTTGTTTTGATTGAAAACAAAATAATTAAACTGAAATGAAAGGAAAAAAAAGTGATATTTTGGATCGAAATCTCATAAGCAAAAATGTATTATAGCAGTTCCGTAAGGGATTGTCCTATAATGTGGAGAGAGAATTTATGACTGTGAGGTTGTCGGACGTAGTTTACAGGGTACTAGATTTGGTCGATGATTTACCGATTTGTACTTTCGGATAGTGACTGCGTGTTCCTAGGTTATTAAAATATATATATATGTATTATAGCAAAAATTGTATTACTAGAAAAAATATACATATAAATAACAAAGCTATGAAACAATTATATGTAGGAGTAAGAACAATGATTTTAACACAAAAAGCCTCTTAAAATTAATTTTTAGTATAATATAAAAAATAAAAATATATGTTTGATATGATATTTTTAGGGAGAAGAAATAGGATAAATAGTGTATTTGGGGGAAAATCCTCCAAACAAATACATCCTAAATATATTACACATCCGTCTGAACTATTTATGCCAAATGAAAATCAAGAAATAATTGCACTGTAAGACAAGGTATGTAAAATTATCTCGATTACAATTCGATCTTAGACGGTATTCGGATATATCGGATTAAATATTTTCAAAATAATTTAAATTTGATTTTACAATTTTTGAATTAGAATTTAACGATTTCGAATTCATATAATTATTTTATTTGATATTAATTTTATTTTATAAAAAAATAACTTTATATAACACCAATTCACCAAACCTAAAAATTTTATAATTTTATATTATTATATTATATTATATTATATTATATTATTTATATTTAATTATATTAGTATAATATTTTAAATAAATTAATAAATTTATACCATCATAATTCAATTTTAATTGAAATTAGAAAATATTTGAAATTGAATTTGGTCATAATTTTTAATTTTTTTTTTTCAAAAAACCCGAATTCAAATATCCGAATTATCAGTTTTTTTTTTTATGCACATCCCTAGTATAATGTCAAAATATAGTATGCAAAAAATAAAGTGGAAATATTATAAGAAATTTATTAAAAAATTAATAATAAAATAGTGAAAAATTAGTTATTATTTGTTAAAATATAAATATTGAAGTTAAATGTTTATAAAATTATTTATTATAAATATATTATGTATAAATTAACTGAACAATTAAAAAAAAAATTACGAGGGTGTTTGAGAAAGACTTTTTGAAGAGCTTTTAGCTTATTGAACACCTCTTAGCTGTTTGACCAGTCAAAAAATTAATTTAGGTGTTTAGTAAATTAGCTTTTTGAATGAGCTTCTTGGTCCAAAAAACTAATTTTTAAAAAGCTTATCTAGAGTTTTTTTATTTTAATTTTGGTTATTTCTTATTTACCCTTAAAACTTAATTATTTATTTTATACATATAAATATATTTTTATAGCAGTATTTATTAATTATTTTTAATTTATTAAATTATATTTTTATTTTCGTAGATTTAAAATAATTACCATTATTAATTATTACATCTAAATTATTTTATTTGTAAAATAAATAAATTTTTAAAACTAAATCAAATAGAAAAAACAAAAAATATTGATTTATTTATATATATTAAAATAATAATTAACATAATAAAAATATATATACGAAAGATTTATTATTTTATATTTTACATAATTTTAATAAAAAATTATTATTTTTTATTAAAAATAATTTTTTCAAATCTAAATAATAAAAATAAAAATAAATATTTTATAATATTTTTATAATTTTTAATAATTAATAACAAAAATTCTCAAAATTTTCAAACCAAAATGAACAAAATTAAATATTTTAAAAAATAACATATCAATGTTCTTAATAGTCACTTCATGTATAAACAGCTAATGTCAAACAATTATTTTACCAAACATTTTAATAAAAACCACTAATTGAATCAGTTAGTCAAACCAACTAATTGAATAAGCTAAAGCTAACTCACCCTAAGCTAATTGAATTTGTTCGGGGGATTGGATTTCCAATCCACTATTCATCCCATTTTTCTTTAAAAAAAAAATATCAAATCAAGCACCTATTTTTTATTTTTTATATTATACTAAAAATCAATTTTACATTCAAAACATTACATCTAACACCTATTTACATCACATCATACAACTATTCAAATTCAAATTTTTTACTATTCAAATCCCAACTCCAAATCCAAACCTCCAAACAAACACACCCTTAGTTAATGAGAGGCTTGGGAGGAACCTTTACTTGCACTAGATTTTTCCACCGAGCATTGAGTTTTTTAGCCTTAAAAAAATAGATTGTTACGAACTAGTCTATTTGTCCTACATAATTTGTCTTTATTTTTTATTTTCTTCTGTTTTATATAATTTATTTTTTATTTTTCTAGAAATATAATTATACATTTTAATCACATTTTTAATTTTAGAAAATTTTAATTTAATTTAATTATTTAATTATTTTAATTTTAATTTATAATTATTTTTACTAATATATTTCTTAATTACTTAGTAATTATACTTTATCTAAATTTTGTATCTATAGTAATACATCCATATTATATGAAACGGAGGGAGTAATATTTTAGAATTTTGATAAAAAGCCTCCGAACTTGTAAAGAAGCCATCTAAAATTACCCCACTGTCTGCTTTAAGAATAATGTAAATCATTCTAAAATGGTTAATAAACTCAATTAAGTAAAAAATAAATGAAAAAGAAATAAATTTATTGTCCCATAAGTAAGGAATAAAGTTTAATATTTTTCTTTTTATTTTAAAAAGGAATAAAGTACGAGAAAAAGTGTCCCATATGAAAAATTGTTTATTAAATTGATAGTTCTATTAATTAAACTAGGGTAGATAATTTTATTTTAATAAATCTAATCACATGTTTATTATAAAAATTAAAATTCGGTATTGATTAAAATTCGCTACAATAATATCTTAATTAGAGATAATTAATCTTACCTGATAGAATCAATTTATTATTATAATAATACTTCCTTCGTCTAATAAGATCATCTCCAACCCATTGCATTGTACACAAAAAAAATAGCGGGGAGGGGCTCCAACCCACCCCTAAATCCCCCTCCATTTTTGCAGATATCTATAGTGTTACTCCTAGTGTTACTCCATTTACTCCAAAATGGAGTAACACTGTTACTTCACTCCATTTTTGGAGTGGAGTTTCTGTGGTATTTTTTATATTTTTGGTATTTTTTATATTTTTGGTATATTGTGTAATTTTAATTTTTTAGTAGATGATATATAATTTTATATTTTAAAAAGTTGTATGTAATTTTATTTTTTTTTTGAAAAATAATGTATAATTTTATTTTTTAAAAGTGATATAAATTTAGTTTTTGGAAAGTAATATATAATTTTATTTTTTAAATTGATATATAATTTTACTGTTTGAAAAGTGATATAATTTTTATTTTTTTAAAAGTGGTACGTAATTTTATTTGAACTATTTTGTAATGTATGTTTTTGTAATAAATTGTTATGAAATAATAATATTACGTTATCTTTGTTTAATTATTATATCATTCTCTTGATAGCATTTAATTATTTATTTAAAATTATTTTATTTGTAATAGTTATTAATTATAAATGTTAATTTTTATATATGTAATTTTTTAAAAAAAATATAAATTATATGTATATGGATCTAATGTAAAAATAAATTAAAGTTGGGGTGTAATTTATAAATATGAAAAGTTATATAAAATAATATAAAAAAAGAATATATAGGGAATATAGTAAAAATTGGAGTTTATGGTTGGAGTAAAATTACCGTAGATCAACTGCATTTTTATTGTAGCAACTGCAAAAATAGAGTGGAGGGTTGGAGATGGCTAACAAAGTATCCATTTTTTTCATTTTAGTCGTCCCATAACAAAGTATCAATTTCCTCTTTTAGTAATCGTATTATCTACCTAACATTACAAATACCCTCACAACTTACAATATATTACACAAATGTCATTACTTTTATATCACACATACTAACAATGTTATTTTAGTCATTTCTACTTTATTTCTACTATATCCCAATATAATACTAATATACCTAAAACGCGTAAAAAATAATTGGATACTTATTAATGGAACCGGGGAGTATTTATATTAACATTTATATTATTTTATATTTAATCAAACAAAATAAATATCATATTAATTAATCACATAATAATATAATCTATTGAAATAATCCTACAAAATATAGTATAATCTTATAAAGTAAACATTTATATTAACAATAGATGCATTCTACCATTTAAAGTATTTACAAACAAAATATAGTAATTTATTAATAATAAGTCATAATATTATTTTATTATTTTTATATAAATAATGTTAGTTGATATTTTAAATATTTATATCATTTTATCTCAATAAAATATATAAAATATGAATTTTATTTTGTAAATAATAAAATTTTATAAAATACAAATAAATATGGATAAAATTTTTTATATATTGAGGGGATATATAAATAAAGAGGTAATGAAGGATGATACTTGTAAAGAAATTAAAATTTTAATTAAATTAATTTATATTTGTTAAGTAGGTTTAAGATGAATAAATCTATTAAAAATAGTAATGATTATCTTTTATGCGACAAAAAAAAAAAAAGAGGTCATATGTGGCGGGACGAAGAGAATATTTGATTAGTTAGTGAAAATTTGTAAGAGATTTTAATATTTTTGTCCTTTGACTTTACATATAAAGTAATTGTATGTAATAATATATTTATAATTTAAGTTAAAGTTAATGATATTTTAACACTATTGTATAATTACTTTTACTAAAACAGTAAACAGATTTTTTGAGTAAGATGAACGAAAATGATGAAAATAGTAATATTTTGGAGTGAGACAGAAAAAATATATACTCTTCTGTTCCAAGATAATTGTTCCAATTCATTAATGATACAATATTTAAAGAAATAATATTTAATTAGTTAATAATAATGAGTTATAGTATTATTTTATTATTTTTTATGTAATTACTAATATAGATAATTTTAAAGAAAATTTAATATATATAATTAAAAAAATAGAATATGTATTTAAATATTTTAAAAATTACAGCGCAATAAAAAATATATTACTGCATATATTTTTTATTTGTAGAGAATCAAATTTTTTATAATACAAGTAAGTAAAATAAATTTCGATTTATTTATAATTAACATCAATTAATTTTATAAAAAAATGGAGTTTTGAATGTAGATAAAAATATTTTTTATTTTTTGGAGAAATAGAAATAAAAGAGTTTTGATTGAGTCTTATATGAAAATATATATTATACTACATCTGTCCACCGCAATCTATTCATTTGTATTTGACGTAATTGTTTTTAACATTAAAAATATTCTTATATTTGTATAATTTTTTTGTACAAATATCATTATATGAATATTATAAAAAACTAATAGAAGTATTTTTATCGTTTTTTTATTTGTATTATATTTTGATATAATAATTAATATTCAAAAATTAATATTTGAAAAATAAATAGATAAATTGACGGTGTACGGATGTATTATCTTTTATTAATATTGATTGAAAATTATATCAAAACAAAATGATACGAGAAAAATATTAGATATTGGAGTATGAGAAGTATATTTTATCAATTATTAATTTTTAATAAAAAAAATCATTACACCAAAAATATCGGAGTTTGAGGCAAAAATTGAAATCATGACGTCATCACTGAGGTCATATCTGTGAACAGTAACGACTATTGTTCAGACACGTCTTTAGCTTGTCAGTATTATTTAACTTTATTATATAAAGGTTTCTTCTTTTTTTTTTTTTTTTTTTTTATTAATAAATAGATGCCATCCACTATTTTTTAAATCGTAAGAGTAATTTTCAATCTTCACGTTAAAATAATATTTTCTCTGTCCCATATTTATATATATCTATTTACTTTTTATATAAAATTTTTGAAATATTAATGTTATATTGAAATAAAATAAATATAAAGGTAAAAAAACTAAATTAACTCTATTAGTATTGTATTATATAAAAATAATGATATATTTTAAAAAAGAAAATAAATACTTTCTTATACGAAAGATTAAAATAAAAAAAATAGATAAATTATTAGGAAGAGAGCAAGTAATTATTATAATTTTTTTATTTATAATTTTAAAAAATTAAGGAAAAAAAAAAACACAGCTTTTTCAGACCGGTCCCCCAAACCCAAATAGCCCATTGGGCAAATTCACTGTACAAAAATATACATATGTTTAAATTAAAAAATAAAATAAATAAGTATATTTAAATTACAAAATAAAATAAAATTTATTCCTGATAGACCGCATAGAAATGAGCCTCTTTATTATAAAATTGAACTGGCCCGCCAAGTTCCGCATACATACATGTGTATGCATGTTTAATTCGCTGCTCCCGAAGCATCTAAAATCGTATCCTTGAAGGTAATTTGCAGCGGATTGTGGTTGGTTGGATTCAGTATCGGGCAGCACCGTGGCTGGTAATCTTATTGCTTACTGTGTTGTGTTCAATTTTTGTGAATTAATCGGGCATTTGGGTGAGTGTGTCAGTCTGTATGGTGTTTGAAGCAGGTGCAAAATTGGGGAAAGTTTTGGAGTTTGATTAATTAAGAGGAATGGATGAGGCTTCACTTCCGTTGAATGAGCGTGTTGTGATGCTCAAAGATTTAGTAATCAACAGGCTTCATATGCTCCTGAATGGAATTGCTATCTTATCGGTGTTTTACTACCGAGCTACGACTCTGTGGCGGATTATCCAGACCGGAGAGACTCCGGTGGTGGCTTATCTGGTGGTAATCGTAGCAGAAATTGTGTTGACTTTTATGTGGATACTGCACCAAGCATATCGGTGGATACCTGTTAGGCGAATCGTGTATCCGGAGAGATTGCCGGAGGATGAGAAGCTTCCGCGGGTGGATGTGTTCGTCTGCACCGCAGATCCAAGTAAAGAGCCATCGCTAGGGGTGATGAATACTGTCATATCTGCTATGTCGCTCGATTACCCTCCAGATAAGCTTGCTGTTTACCTTCAGGATGATGGAGGGTCTTACGTCACTCTCAGTGCTGTTCGTGAGTCCTGGAAATTCTCGAGGGTTTGGATTCCGTTCTGCCGGAGGTATAAATTGAAAATTAGGTGTCCAGAAGCTTATTTTTCGGCTAAGGAAAGTGCCGATGAGAAGTTCATCGGAAGCAGCGAGTTCGAGGCTGAGAAGAAGCTCATAGCGGTTTGTGGCGTAGCTTTTACCTTTAGAGGAGACGGTTACTGCTAATGGTATCAATGATTTGAGTACTTGACTTTCTTCTCTTTTGATTTTTGTGTGCAGGAAAAATTCAGAGAATTCCAGAAAGTTTTGGAAAAGAACTCAGTAAATGCAAGCAGCTCTGTTAGCAGAAACCATCCACCTACTATTGAGGTAGAAGCCTCTTTGTTGGCCTTAATTTATTTGTTCTTTTTCTAATGGTCTTAGGTGATTTGTGGAGACGTGTGAATGGATTGATTTTTTTGTCACTTGTTCTTATCATATTAGAATTGGTTTTCACTGCCTTTTGTCAGTTGATTTCCATTTGAATACGTTGTATTAAAACTAGGTCTTAATTTGCAAATGAACAGCTCAATGCCTATGTTAAACTTGATGGGGAAACTTGAGATCATTGGACTCCATGAAATAACAGTTTTGGTTGTAATTGCAAGTGTTTTTGTTGTCTGGAATTAATGTTTAACTCAAGCATTTGAAAATGGTGATTAAGAATACAGAAAATGTTTGCAGGGGAGTTGTCAAGAACATGTGTTTTTACTGTTTTTGTTGTCTGGAATTAATGTTTAACTCAAGCATTCAAGAATGGTGACTAAGAATACAGAAAATGTTTGCAGGGGAGTTGTCAAGAACATGTGTTTTTACTTCTGAATCAATTGACTTTCATTACAGGTTATGACAGATGAAGATCCTGACCTAAAGGAGATGCCTCTTCTTGTATATGTCTCTCGGGAGAAAAGGCCTGGTCATCCACACCATTTCAAAGGAGGAGCACTCAATACTCTTGTAAACTTCCGTTGCACTTTAATGGCTTTTTTTGAGGTTTCTTTTGTCAATTTTCTAGGTGGAAAGAAATGAATGAATACCTTTCTCTTTTGAATAACTTGAATAGAACCTAATCACTAATTTCACAGTTTCATACATGCTCAAGTTTAAATACTGTTTTAGTAGGAACTCCATTATTGCTTGAATGTCTTTTTATGTTGTTTCTTTCTATTCTCTCCCTCATAAATCTGAATTATAATCGAAAGAAAATGTTCTGCAGCTCCGAGTATCTGCTTTACTAAGCAATGCTCCATACTTTTTGGTGCTCGACTGTGACATGTACTGCTACGATCCATCATCAGCTCGGCAAGCTATGTGCTATTTGATCGACCCAAAAACATCACCACAACTAGGTTGGGTTCAATTCCCACAGAAATTTCGTAATACCAGCGAACATGATATCTACGATGGACAGCTGAATCAAATTTGGGTATGATCAATGATCTTCTACATTTTCCACTCTTAATAAACATCAAATTTCAATTCCTTGTATCAATCTAACTTATTGTCTGAAAATATTCCAGAGAGAAGGAAAAGGCTACGATGGGAGCCGAGGACCTAACATATATGGCTGCAATGCTTACATAAAGAGGGAAGCCATATATCGAAGTGACAAACTGAAAAAGGGTAGAATTCTTTACTAATCAAGGATCTTTAGTAATTGTTTTTATCTACAATCCAAGTACTTTGTTTTTTCTGTCTAGATGTTGATGTCAGCGAGCTGAAAAAGTCCTTTGGTGCAAGCAATGAGTTCATAAAATCGCTACTTCCAAATTTCACACCATTGTTGGCAGAAGACAGAAAGCCCTCTCCTACATTAGAGAAAGAGCTCCAACTCGTGGCCTCGTGTACTTACGATTCTGATTCGGAATGGGGAGATGAGGCAAGTGTTAACTGTTAGACTTGGATGTTTAAATACCAATCAATCCAGTTTTTTTCGAAGAGCGTCTTAAATATTAGGTTTGTTGAATTTGCAGATTGGATATAAGTATTTTACCGTTGTGGAGGATGCAATCACGAGCTTGATTTTACACTGTAAAGGGTGGTTTTCGGTGTATCTTGATCCTGAGATACCGTGTTTTTTGGGGTCATGTACTACATGCCTTACAGATATGTTAGCTCAGCAGACGCGATGGGCATTTGGTCTAATGCAAATGACCCTTTCGAAGTATAATCCACTTACGTATGGGCCATTGAGAATGTCGATTTTTCAGAGCATGTGTTATGGTGCAGTTGTATTCGACGCCTTCTTCAGTATTCCCTTTTATGGCTTAGCCATCATACCTCCAATCTGTCTGGTTTACGGCATTCCCCTGTATCCGAAGGTGAGTATGCTAAAGAAGCTTAAAGACATTTATATTTAAAGTTCATGTCGCCTATTTTGGATTTGATTTCATGCTTTTTACGTTGTTTTGTAGGTCTCGGATCCCTTTTTTATTGCATTTGTTTACATCTTTCTGTCAACACACCTCAAGCACGTGCAAGAGGTATTGTCCTACGCAAACGCATCCGTGATGAATGCTGTGTATGAAACGAGGGCGTGGATGATGAAGTCGGGAGTTGCTTTCATGTATGGACTATCGAATGCCATCTTGGAGAAATTCGGTTTGCATGAAGGAGGGTTCTCTCTTACAAACAAGGCGGACGATGACGAGCAGGAGAGGCGTTACAGGGAGGGGATATACGACTTCCAAGTCTCGCCTATGCTAATCATCCCGTTGTGTACTCTATACAATCTTAACTTAGCTTGCTTGGCTATTGGATTGATACGGCTTCTTCAGAGATACGACGAGTTCTTCCTTCAAGCCTGTCTCTCGTTCTACGGCGTCGCCCTCAATATCCATTTCTTTCAAGGTATGTTCCTTCGAACCGACACTGGCCGTGTCTCTCCTTATGTCACTCTGCTCTCTATCGCCGTAGCGGCTATCATATTCTGCATTGTGTCTCTTCTTCTTGTTTAGTTATCGGGAACGATAAGATTGCATAGTAGATGTTCGAATTTAAAAGAACTTTCTTATTCTTGATGTTACAATATGAAACTGAAATTCTCTATTTTATTTACAAATAGCAATCTTACAAATATCTTAAATTAGGCAATTTGAGTTTGTCAACAAAGATTGAAAATAATGTAGCCGTGATTTTCAATGTCGTTACAGTTGAAAATTAAGCAGGACTCTCATTGTCGTTAGAATCGAATATAGAGACCTCAATGCCATTAGAGTCAGAAATATGACCCTCGATATTGACAGAGTCGGAAATAGAACTTTCTCATCAAAGTGACCTAACAACACGGTGAAGATATATGCATTAAGAATTATATCAACAAATACGGTAAATAAGTTGAGATATGAACATAAAATTCTCTACTTCAATAATAAAAACTCGCAGTCATGTATTATTTATATAAAAATATGTCTTACAAATATCTTAAATAAGGTAAATACTATAAATGTAATACTACCTTCGTCCTGGTCCAGCTCTAAGGCTATCATTTATTTTATTATGAGTTGATATTTGAATATTAATTATTATTATATAAAAACATAGTGCAGATTAAGGGAAAAGAGCAAAAATACTTCTATTAATATTTTATAATATTATTATAATAACATTTATATAAAATATTATACAAGTACGAGCTCATTGCATTTGACAAACATGAATAGTGATCCCAGAAACAGAATACTAGCGGAGATTACAACGGACAACATAGTAACAGCAGGTGAAATCCTCCCCCTGTCTTTCCTCATTACCATTCCATCAAGCAAATGGTAATTCAGACACACAAACCATGGAATGGCAGCCTGTGCAAACATCTCCCTGCCCCACTCTTCTTAAAAAATTCTTACAGAGGCAACCAGAAAAGCCACCGGATTGACAATGTATAGGCTACACAATGGTGCCAGCAGCTGAGACGATGTCCGGAAGTCGTATACGCCTTCCTGGTAGCATTTCGCTTCCTCTTCATCGATCACTTTGCTTGTTATCGAAAAATTTGCTTCTTGCAGGCCGAGCCGGTCTAGGACAGCGTTGAGAGTGGCATATAAGTAGCACGCCCCGCACTTCATCATCCAGACGCGCAGATCATACAGCGCCGTCATGAATGGGCTGCCGTAGGAGACAAAGATGAATGCGAAGACGAAGAAGAATGGATCTCCCACCTGCAAGAAATATGTCGTCGTGAGTAAGGTCTAAGCTCGAAATATGGAATGGCGACTGTAAATTTACCTGGGGATACAAAGAAACGCCGTGGAGAAGACATAGTTGGGGGACGATTGCTAAGACATAAAATGAAATGGCGTAAAGAGGGTCGAGCGTAAGCCCCGCGTAGCTCATGCTTTGAAAGATCGGCATTCTACTTGTCGAGTTTATCACCGGAGAATCTCTCGACACTCCCAACAGCAGTAGTCCTAAGTTCAGATTCATCGTGCATGTCCCCAAGAAGCATGGCCTTTTCGGATCGAACCAAACCGAAATCCATCCCTTTCTGTGCAGTTTAAGGCTGTTCAACGAGTCTTCGACGACGCTGTTGTATCCCGATCCCACCTGCGCCGGAAAAACTGATAGTTAGGACAGTAAAAACCGACAAATCTTGTCCAAGTTTCTCGGAGCTTGCCTCATTGCCCCCCTCAGTGCCATCGTCCTAAGTACAAGATGCGACGAGTTGTATCTCCTTCTGTAGCGCATCGGAGACCTTCCCTTCATCTCTCGATATGCTCGGTTTGTAGCTTCCATACGTCGATTTGATTAGCTCATGGCTCGAACCGAAGTACTTCCTCAGCAGGCTCAGATCAGCATCTGGACATAGTAGCGAAAGTTAAGATTGTCTCGACGAACTTGTGAATTGTGAGCTAAATTTAAGTTCAACGGCCAAGCAAGTACCCTTTGGAACTTTGTCGATTCCATATATCGCTTCCCGTCTCATGAAAAAGTTGCAGCCCGTTATCGTCGGACCTCGAATTCCATCCAAGCCTTCCCATTCCCTCTGAGACAAGACAACATAGCTCGAACATTCGATAGCAACAAAAGTTTCACTAGATGGATACGAAACGTACCCAATAGTAGAATAGGTTCCCATCGTAGATATTGTGCGGACTTATGTTATGAAAATGCTGCGGGTATTGAACCCAAGCGAGCTTCGGGATATATCCGGGTCGAAAAAGAAGCACATTGCTTGGCGGGCTGCGCTCGCGTCGTTGCAGTAGTGGTCGCAGTCGTTGCTGATCACTGCAGAAACTCTAAGCTGCAACCATTTGGAAAGGTTCAAGAAAAATGCAGCTCGACATTGATGCGATTCAATCAGAGCTCGATTTATTTACAAGAACATTGATGGCTCTGGCTTTGAAGTGATGAGGATGCGACGGCCTTTACATTGTCATTGTCAGTCGCGTCGCTTATAATCTGTTTTACAATTGCAAGAACCTCGATCAGTCAGGCATCGATGTATATTGTCGGGGTGTGTGATACTTAGTTTAGTATCGCATTTTCAACCTTAATGATCGGCGGATGATCTCTGCTGACAGAAGTGCCGAGAGTTTCCTTATTGGCGTCGTCGTCGAGCCTTTCTTTGAATTCACCGTACTTCGCCTGCTAGGATCGATGCTGATCATCGCGATCGAATGCTAAATTGTGTTAAAACAAAAGACGAAGATATACTTCTCGTCTTTATTATTTTGAGCGTTTTAACTTAATAGCACGTGAAGAGTTCCCAATGTATGCATAATCTTAACATAGAGACGAAGGACAAAAAAACACATGTTTTTATTTAAACCTAAGTATGTACTATATGAATATATTCTTTGACATATAATCATGTACTATCAGTATTGTGCTGAATTTTATGATTCAATATAATAATAGTGGGCAAAGACGAAACATGGTGATTTACTCCTGATGCCTCTAGGTCATTTGTCATACATAGTTCGTGTACGCCAATCGGGGCACCTGTTTATCACCTGGTGCTTCTTACAAAACAGAATTTAGGTGGCGGCGGCGAATCTCCAGGCTTCCTTCATAGCAGCAAGAGTGAGCGGCGCGCCACGACATAGGCACTTGGAAGGGCGGTGGAGGAGCCATAGAAAGGAAAGGACAACCTCGGAGAGGAAGACAATGAGGTAAGTGTTGGGGACTCCCGCTTGCGGTTAATAATTAATAACCGCATTTCCCTAATAATTCGAACTTTTAGGTAAGATAATCATTATGTATTCCAAATAGTACGAGAGCCTCGAGTTCGACTTCCACCGCGTGGATAACCAATATATAGCAACATTCTTATGTATAAATTTTTGAAGGATACTAATGTAGCTCATTAGCAACATATTTATTCAGACTTCATGAAGCCTTCTAGAAATTGAACATATTTAGCTTTCTCTGTATTACCATGTTCGTTCTCTCCATTTTATACCATTTTAATTAACTTCTTCAATATTAAAAAGAAACATAAATTAATTATTTAACAAACTAAAGAAAATATGGGATTCATCCATCATTCATCTTCCTCATTGTTTGTTCTTGAGAAAATTGTGTGTTGTGTATGTTTGGTGTAAATTCTTAATTCCAAAAGAAATCTAAAGGAAACAAACATTATTTTGTTCATGTTTGATTGATTTTTGTTCTTTGGAATCGAATCCAATAGGCTCGAAATATTTGAGTGGAATCCAACGAGGGGAAAAAAAATTTTAAAAAATTGTAAAACATATAAACTTTAGAAGACATAACATTATTATTTTTTTGTCAGAAATTTTAAGAAAGTTTTTAGAACATATAAATAGTAGAAAACATAATATTATTTTATTTTAAAGAATTTTAAGAAAGTTGTAAAACATATACATTGTAGAACAAATAACATTATTTTTATATTTTTTCAGAGATTTAGAAAAGCCCTAGAACATATAAATTGCAAAAAAATATAATTTTATTTTATTTTTTTTTCAGAGATTTAAATAAATTGTAGAACATATAAATTGTAGAAAATATAACATTATTATTATTTTTTAGAGATTTAAAAAAATTGTAGAATATGAACATTATTTTTTCTTAAATTTTTATAAAATTTATAGAACACATGCATTAGAAATGTTATCCACTACTTAACCACTTGTACACAGTAAAGAAAATACTATCCTTCGTTCCTTATTTAATTCATGCATTTGGTTTGTGGCACCATATTTAAGATACTAGAGTTTAGTCAATTATTAATTAAATTGATTTATATTTTTTTTAAAATATATTTAATATTGATAAATTTACTAAAAAATAAAATAAATATAAAATTAATTTGTTTTACAATTAAGTTTTTTAAACTTGAATGTGTATGAATAATAGTCAATACAATGATATATATTACTCCATAAGTCTATTATTATTATTATTATCTCTATTTAATAGCTTTACTGTAACACCACAAATCATAAAAATATATGTATATATATTCTAGACACTCTAATCAATACTTTACCCAAAACTTGCTACAAACACACTTCATGCTGATCCTTTTAACTCACTAATGTGTTTAGCAAATACTAAACTAATATCAATAGTATCAACCAAGTATTTAAACACACACTTTAAAACATTCCAAATAGTTTTAACTCACTAATGTGTTTACCAAATACTAAACCAACATCAATAGTATCAATCAAGTATTTAAACATACACTTTAAAGCATTCCAATGTTCCACATCCGGATTAGCCATGTATCTATTCAAATAACTAAAAGAATACGCTAAATCAGACATAGTGCACACCATCAAGTACATAATAGAACCTACAACACTAATATAAGGAACATTCAACATGTATTTCACATCATTTTTAGATTTTGGGCATTGATTTTTAGATAAAATGAAATTAGAAGCGAGGAGACAACAGAGAGTTTAGCATCAGTCATGCAGAATCTATTCAAAATTTTCTTAATGTATGAAAACTGATTTAAAAACAACATGTTACCTTGTCTATTCCTAAGTATATTCATACCGAGAATTACTTCTGCATCTCCTAGGTATTTCATATTAAATTTCTTGCTTAAACAATCATTCACATGATTAATGGTT